GTAATCGTGACTAGTCGACTAATTGTGGCAGCCCTACTTCATTCTTATTTAAATTTTTTCCATATGTTTTCATCTACACTTCAGGGCATTCAGGGAATCAGAATGCTCTGAATTATTTCATAGGCAGCTTTTACAAAAGCACGAAAATATGCAAAATACAAGAGAAATCTGTGCTGTCTGGATAATCATTGATGGGTGAAGAACTGTGATCGTACAGTAACACTGTATTTGATCTGCAGGGTGCTGGTATTTCTGGGGTTCCTCCATCAGGAGGCGGCTTCAGTCCAGGTCAGAATCAGGTTTCCACACAGGATCAAGAGAAGGTGAGTGTCACTCTTTGTCACTGCTGCATTTTTATCAGTCAGGATGATGAGTCGGTTAAAAATCTCTGTGTAATTCCTTCTGAGTTATATCAACATGTAAAATGACCTGTGTTTTCATTATCAGCTCGCTGAAAGCCTCCTTTCTGCACTCCTGATCATTGATTGCACATGTTTGCCTTACCTGAGAACAGTAACTATTGTTATTCTGGAACAATAGCTGGCAAGGCTGTATGATTTCTGTTATCGAACACTTTCATTAGACTGTTGTTCTAGACTTTTCTGTTCAGTTTGTTGGCCAGAAAAACACGTTTAACCTCCTCAGCAACATTTTCATTTTCCTCTTTCAGGCTGCCCTCATCATGCAGGTCTTGCAGTTGACTCCAGAACAGATCGCAATGTTGCCGCCGGAGCAGCGGCAAAGCATCCTTATCCTCAAAGAGCAGATTCAGAAGACTGCGAGCGGGGCCCCTTGATGGTCTGACTGATTAAAGTACTGAAAAGTCAGAGCTTCTTTCTTTCCAGTCGCAAATAAAACCTTAGCGCTAGAGTCAAAGGTTTTTGAAATGTTGTGACATCCTCCTTTCTTCCCCCCCATTTCATCATGTCAGAGTTTCCTGTCTGCCCCACTCGGACCAGGCTGCAAAGATCTGAAGATATCCCATCTTAGTCTGGAATATGTTCTTTTTGTTTTAAATCATAATGTTTGTTTTGTGTGAGAGTAACATTGATTCACGTGGAGAAAAAGTCACTTTCTATGGTGAATGTTGAACTTGAATAAAAGCTAGAGCAAGAATGTCACGTTTTTGTTTTTCCCCGTAGAAAAGCCAACTGTTGTTATGTTGTAGCTGTTTTGTGAATAAAACAACAAAAATACACCAGTTGCCTTTATTTTCTTTTATTCATGAGAAATTATTTACCATAAAAACAGCAGGTAAGTTGTTTTCTTCCACATCTTTAGACGATCATTAACCACTAACTTAACGACTGGCATGGTTTTATCTTTCACGTTTTTCTGATAAGGAAACGCTCGAGAATACAGGAGGTCGTAATTGCACCTCATATTTTTCCAGTAAACCCGTTTCCTGTTAAACTCTTGCCAAGAAAAATATTTTTTTGTATCCTGCTACACGCATGCATTCAAACAAGGGTTATATACAGTAGAAACCGTGCATGAGCCGTGTAATCAGTTGTCTTGAGTGGAAGATATACGATTATAAGATCATAATGAATAGTAAATATACTCCATTTGTGAGTATTTTGTAAAGTAAAAGTTTTTCACCTTCTGTCAAAACCTTCACATTCAGTAGATCTAAGAACCAAGGTCCTCATCTTAACAGCATAAATTGTCCCTGTAACTTTAGTCAAGTACTACAATAATGCAGCCTAATATGACACAAATATATACATATATATAATATATATGTAGCCTCAGTGATTCCTTACTTCACAATGGAAAAAAATGGGGCAAATCCCTGAGCACCACTGATTAAAATGACCCACCATGCCTCTGTACTCCCTTCAGAGTAGATGGAGGAAGGTCTGTAAACACTCGTCCTGTCACACTGGTTTCCCTCGATGTTTTCACATTTCTCTTCTGAAGCGAGACAAAGTTCCAACTGATTGTTATCCTTTGAAATATGTGAATGTGCGCTTCCTGTTTTTCTCTCGTTTGCTTATTTATTTTTTGCTCAGAAGTTCTCCTTGTTGAAGTAAAATCTGGTCTTGCGAGGATCCACGTCTGAGTATTT